AATAAGAATTTACTGTGTCGTGCTCACTCTAATGACCCTTTATATTGAGCTGGGTCTCTCACCTATGGGCCTCTTCCTAGTACGTTCATAAGCTGGCCAGAAAGACGATAGGTATTCAGACACAGAGCGGGTATCCTTTCTAAAACCCATACCAAAAGCAAATAAAGGAATGAAACTTCTTACTGTCAAGGAGCTCAAGGAAAACTGTTTGTAAAATGAACATTTGCGACAGATCTTTTCCACTCATCCTGTATGAGTAACAAAAAGGATCCCGTGCTGTTGGGTGTCACACTGTGTCATGTCCTACCCTTTCTCATTCTGGCACTTCCACCAAGTTTTTCATAGAAGTTGTACAACCTTTACAAATTTTTCCTCCTCTCTTCTCAAGCTCAATCTTTTGTTTTTCCAAATGGCAAAGAGGTGTTTTTCTGGCAAAGAGGCGGCAGCAGTTGATGTCTCTTTGTCAAAGGAGAATGGAGAACACCTCACATATTGCCACAGGCAACAGAAGTGAAGAAGAGGAAGGGACAGAAACATGTGCTCTGCTAACATATATTGGATGTTGCTTTTCCTACCCTGGCCATAGGGCTTTAAATCATTTAAAAGACGTATTTTTATTGATTACTTTCAGATCTCTTAATTTAGCCGGTATTACTAACGAGCTGCCCAAGGTAGGTACATTCACGGGAAGCTGGCACACCATGGGTATCATGAAAGCAGAGGCAGCTAGCACTTAGCAGCAGGCAAATCGCATAGCTGGTCTCCTCCTCCAATGGAGATACCAAAGTAGTTGAAATACAAACTATAGCTATAGCAGTTTGCCTACAATCAAACCTCTTTTTGGTACTCCTGACAGAAATCAAAAATCAGCAAGAGCAGATTATCTTATTCACATTAGTCCAGGAAATTCTAAAGCACTTTTATTTATCACTGTTTCCTGAGGCAAGGCTCATGAAAAAAAAACAAAAAACAACAAAAAAAAAACAATTTTGTTCCCATAAACATTTGGAAAACAGTTTGCCTGTAGAGGCATCTTAAACTCCCTTCCAATTTTGCAAGTTTGTACATATTTAGTTGTACTTAGACCTCCAACTTCCTAATACATGGATGCAAACAGTTAGACATCTGACTGTTAAAATATGAGTCTATAATTATTAGCAGAAGCAAAACTTCAGGCTGCTTTGGAAAATCAGGCCTGATTGATTGAAGGCTATTTTTTTCCCCTTTCCTGAACTAATATTCTTTTTGACATTTTTTTGAACACCAAAATTGCAATCCCAAAGCTTCTAATGCCCCTATATTATTCCCATTTCTTACACCTGCTGACTGGAGACCTCTACAGTTTTCCAATAACTGTGATGTTTGTAGTTATGTTTTTCATTTTAGAAGTCAAAGAGATTAAATCCAACCTGCATTTTATCATTCTTCGTTGTAAGTATTCCAAGCATTTATTTCAGTGAGTTATTTACAGATGGAGATGTACGGGGAGATGGAAGATGCTAGAACTACCAAATGGCACCAGATGGAAAAGAAAGAGGACCTTGACCTGAGAAATACCTTGTTTCTCTGATGTGTCGTATTTTTAGAATTTTGATTCTCTTTTAACCTAATACGGATTAATGAAAAACCAAAGGCTTTTTAAGGTAGACT